TCATTGAAGGGTGTTTCTCCCGTCTCTTCTTTACTTTTTTAAATGTCATTTTTTCAGATGTGAATAAAGTCGATGCCTTTAGATATCAAATACCTGTAATAAGACCAGATGAGAACATTGGTCTGCACTGCCTTAGTTACAGCGACTTTAAAAGAGCTTTAAAAGGCTTTTAGATTTAATAAAACCTTGAATAAAAATAAACTAAACCACATTGCTAAAAATATTAAAAACGTGCTCTCTGTTTATTAAATAACAGTTTATTAAATAGTGGATCATAAAAGCAAGGTTAACATTTCTGAGAATCTCTTGTGTTTCTCTTGACTTTGAAATTTGAGAGCGAAGATTTTACAGCAGAGAGAGAAACAAATCGGTTATCTTAAAACTATCCAGTAATTGGTTTGTGCCTTCTGACGACAGCTCTAACGAAACAAGATGCCTTTTGGTCACAAAGATAATGAGGCCAACAGTAATGTGTGAGATGAATTTGCTTTTGGACAAATTGGTAGCACAGAGTGAAAAAAGAAGAAATGGTAGGCAACAACAAAAGATTTTATTCTAGTTCCCATTATTGTGTCCCTTTATTTGACTTCATTCCTTAATTAGGAAAATGTATTTCTGATTTTTAAAGTCTGAAAGAAAGACATCAGTACGGTCAACACAGTTGCATAAACTAGAATACACAAAATACAAAGACAACCAAAATGTATAAACATCAGTGGCAACAGAGCCTGAAACATCAATAAAAACCCTGTCTTATGCCAGAAGCAAGCTATTTCAGGCAGCCTGAACTAACTGGAATGTAACCTAGCAACTGAAGCCATTTGTAATCACATTTTGTACCAAGTTGTGGACATTTGCACGGAAAAACTACTCCTAGCATTGCTAAGTTTAGCAAACTAACCCAACACTATGTGTTTGCAACGTTATACATGACACAAAGTGCTGCACATAAATGACGAGCATATTAGTTACAGGAGCATCTTTTCGCTCTCTTTCTTATGTACTGGCTCTGGTCTTCGCCCTATCCTGCTGCTGGTGTGTCCCTTACCCTGCATTGCATTAGCTAGCACTAGCTGGCAATTCTTGTTGTTCTGTGTGCCATAAGACAGCCTAGTGTTTACTAACTCCAACACCAATTTTTCCTTAGCATTAGCTTGCAAAAGTACCAGGAAAAGAAATATTTCCTTGTCATTAGCTTTACTGCAGCATCAGCTAATTACTTGACTGTACCAAAAAAAAGAAGAAGGTAGAAACAGTGTTGCAATTTGGTTTAAATGACAAAGTGTTGCCATTAGTAGGTTTCTCATGGAAATCTGTTTGAGGACTTTATCTTCCCTGTCTCCTTAAACAGAAAATAAAACAATACTTTATGTTTATTTATACTCGTGTTTATATCTAAAGGTTCCCTTTCCTGATGTTAGCATGATGATCCAAAACATATGAATGCATAGGAAACGAAAGGAATATCTCTAGCATCAGCAAACATTTTTAACTGGGGGTTTGATTCGCAGACATTTATTAACATTTTTTCTTTATCACATGCAAAGCAACAACAGGAAAATACTAAATAAAATAAGGTAATAAACTGTGGCTGTTATTGTACCTGGGCAGATTGTGCTTAAATGAGAGATGCTGAGGAAAAACCTGGATAAATGTGGAAAACATGTCCTGAAAAAACAAAGACATTGCATAATCAGTTTTTTTTTATACATGCCACAACTGCCACCGTAAGATGATACACAGAAATACTACAGACAGAACTCAGACCCAACAACAGGCTATAAGTTAGACATGAAAAATTGTTCCCAGATAAGTCTGTAAGATGTCATAAGGCATATAAAATACACCAGATTTCTGTCTATTATGCAATAGAATGGATTTGTGTTAAATAATCACATCTAAACAAATCATGTTGTACATGGATGTTGTACCTGACCAAACTGGACATAGTAACAGGGTGGCATGTTTATGTTGGTCTCCTGATTTCCTCTCTCTGAACTCTGCTCATTTCCCTTCTGCTCCATCACCCCTCCCTGTCTTCTTCACACTTCTTCACTGTCTTTTTCCCCCTCCTTCCGTCACCTATTCCCTCCCTCTGAGCTCTCTCAATTCCTGCAGAGACATGCTGCGTCATGGAAACTACCAGCTCAGTGTGTGCGTGTCTGTGTGTGTGTGTGTGTGTGTGTGTGTGTGTGTGTGTGTGTGTGTTAGATAGCTTGTGTTAAAGGCACCCTAACAGCACCTCCTGCTGTCCTGCTTGCCAGATCATTATAAGCAGTGATGATTTACAAGGAGGTTGCAAAAATAAAAGAGAGAAAGATGTTCAGATCACAAAAATATCCACATTTATGAGTACATTTCAGTTTCTGCAAAGTTTTGTCTTCATTCTCTGCATTCCTGATGATGTGCATATGGCTGCTATCGATTATTTAGATGCATTTGGTCCCAGAAGACAGTATGACTATCTCCCAGTGCTCTTGGTTGGACTAAATTAGATCAATAAACTTGATTATTTTTATTCACTTGATGCCTACAGAGTCCCTGAGAGGTCATACTTAGATTTTTTTTGCAATAACATTTGCACTTCATTCAACTCACAGTAGAAGTGAGCTCTATTATGATACTGTATATACACCCAAACCTGTACCTGATTAAGACAACTACAGACTGTATCATAGGTTATGATTGCAGTCATATTGGTGTCACTGAATGCCTCATGCAATATATGAGTTTTTAAACATTCACTACTAGATAATATCAGAGGTTGGTCATTTAAAAAGGAGAACAGGTGGACTCCGGTGGTCCCCGTGGACTCCCACGTTCAGTTATACAGTAATCGTGTTTACAGCTAAAGAATAAAATGTTTTGACCTCCATGGATAGTTTTCCCCCTTGTAAGAGCTCACCAGGGGGTGGGTTTTTAATTCTGCTCATCCATCTGGGTGGTGGTAAGTGTCCTGACATAGGCACCTTTAGCAAGTCTGTGTACTAGGTTTCACCTAAACTAATTTGAATTGCTGAATTGGACCTCTCTGCTTTGATTGTGCCGTCTGTGCCTGTTGATGAATTTCAATGGAATTATGTGGCAAATAATAAATATTATTGCTGTGAGGTACAGCCTGTCCAAGATGTTTGCGCTTGGTTTTAGTGATTGAATTTCTAGTATTTTATTAGTTTGTTAATAAATCCTGATTTGCGTATCGGTGTCTGTGTGTTGTCCCCAAACGGTTTATGACTGCAGATGAAAAATCCGCTCACGTCTGGATTCTCACTGATATTGAAGTCTAGTCAAAAGGCGATGTCTATCCTTTATGTGAAATCCATGGTTGCGATGAGTTGCCTTGTTTCCTCGTGTTTGTCTGCCTGTTTTCTTTTGGGCCACTTCGTGATGCAGTGTTTGAGCAATTACCGTCACTTGAACACTACTTTACACTTAGTGGACTAAATACCACATAATTATAATCACTGTATATTTTGACACAACTATAAAATGTTAGATTCTTTCTGTTTTCCAAAATATAATGAGTGAGGATTTTTGACACTTGCTTGTTCTATGTGTTGGGTTTGTTTTTATCATCTTTTTAACTGTTAACATTGCGCCATGTCCACCATCCATCTTTCTCCACTTAAATTAAATATTTGACAAGTGAAAGTGTGTGTACATTGTTAAAACGAGTTTGTCTGTGCTTTTATATTAGAGGAAGAAATCCTAAAATGCTGCAGACAGACATGCGGCGCTTTGGCAGCACTTCTCACAGCCCACAATGATAGAAAAGGAGCCATGAAAATCTCCTAATTATACAGACACACATGCAAACACTTAAAAGGAGGGAGCATTGTCTGCAGACTCACACAAACACAGATACTGAACACACTCACACTGCACATAATCCAGGCTGAGATAGTCCTGTAAACACACCAGTGTTGGAGAAGTCATTAAACGCATCCTTTTTCTTTTTTCTTTTTTTTTGGCGAGGAGACATCAACTCTATTTTTACTTGGATGTTGTCATCTAATTTAAGTGTTTTGTCTTTGATATTCCCGAATTTTGGATGCAAACTTTAAAACACAAAGCAAAAGCCTTCATTGGTAATTTTTCACCGAATCCAGACCATTGTTGTGTTTGCTCTACTTACACATATACAGTGCTGAGAAAAATTATTTGCCTACTTCCTGATTCCTTAGTTTGAATATTAGACAAATACAAAATGCAGGCTTGAAATTATTATTTGATTTTGTTTAGAGAAACGAAAACCCACCAGTCTAACCTACCTGGCCCTGTGTGAGGAAGTCGTTAATGCCCCTCCTTGATGATTTAACTGTGATTAACTACATTGTTAAATACATTTTGTCTGAGTTTAATTTCACTAGCCACACCCAGGCTTCATTACTGCCAGACCTGTTGAATCAACGTGCCTGACAGACTGATGATTCAACAGTAAGGAGGAGACTAAGCTCGTTTCACATTTACCAGAAAAACATTTTCATGATCCCCAAAGCTTTAGGGAAAATATTCTGTGGACTGACAAGACAAAAGTTGAACTTTTCCGAAGATTTGTGTCCAACATCATACCAGCAGTCAAACATGGTGGTGCTGTGGTAGTGTGATTTGCTGCTTCAGGAGCATCACAGTTGCTGTAATCGATGGAGCCATGAATTCTCCTCTGTACCAGAAAATCCTGAAGAAAAATGTCCATCCATCCATTCCTGCCCTGAAGCTCGTGCTCCCTTTGGATATATATGTAACATTACAGTAATCTAAAACACATCAGATCGAAAGGAGGCTTTCGATCTTTTACCTTTATTTTCTTATTCATGAAAAATATGCAACACTCCTCACCTGTCTGCTTTGTTTTCTCCCTCCTCTTCCCTTCTGCCTCTTCCCTTCTATTCACTTCTACCAATTTCATCCAATTTTTTCTCCCATTTTTCTTGCTTCCTCTTACTCTCCCTTCCTGCACCTCCCCTCTCCCTGCTTGTGCCCTCTTCCCCTTTCCTTAGGTTTGTCAAAGTCATTCCCGTTGGACAACTCTTTGTTCGACAGCTGGCTCGCCCAGTCGGTTCAGATCACCGCTGACGACATGCTGAGCCAGTGGGCTCTGGGTGCCCAACATCGGGACAAGAGCGGCAGCCTGCTTTCTGACCAGGTAGGGCTTCAGGAGCAGAGGGCACAGAAGACGATGTGTTAGCAGAGAGAGACAGAAAGAATGAAACGCAGCAATGGGTCTGCTGTAGTAAGGACTTAAGCCTTCAGTACAATGGGGTGCCTGCTTTACCAGGTGAACTGCAGCTGTTACATGTTATGATAAGAGATGAATACAACACAAACGTCTTGCTCAATACTTGGAAAAGAAAAAGTGGTTTGCTAATGCAACATTGTGAGTAGACCGTTACATCTTGACCTGAATTCCTGTCCACTTCACCGGTGAACGAAACGAGTGCCAAGGACTTTCCTGTGAAGAGGCCACGCCGACACAAACAGCTACATAAGTAAAAAAGTGAAGCGTTCTTCTTAGTCGAGGAAGGGAAAACGGCTAAAGTGTACAAGAAAATGAAACATACACAGAGAATTTCACTTTTATGCATTAATTCAGTCTAAAACACTCCACAAGGACGACCAGCGTTTCTTTTCCACATATATTAGAAATCATTTGATCAGTTTAATTACTTTTTGTTAGTTTCAACTAGAATTGAGCACTGGTACTATTCCTGAATGGTGCTTGTATTAATGGAAAAGTATTTTTTTAAAAAGCTGTCATAAATTCATCTGTGTATATTTTGATCACCATCCGAACACATGAGAGAGGCCACAGTGTTTCCCACAGAACTTTGTTGCGTTTGTGTCCACAACTGTGGACATAGGCGAAGCTAATCTGTGCTTTTTAAATAATGAACAGATGTGTACATGCATATTTGTGACTACATACATTTTTTTTTAAAACTGAGCAGTAGGCAGCTGCCTCGCCAATAAATTCCTCATCCAGCGGACACATTCCAGCAGCATCGTCTTGGATGTGGCTGGAGTCCCCGCTCAGTAGCCTCTGTGAGCTCAGCAAAGAGGCGCCAGCTCTCCACCTATCCAGTCTAACCAGACCCCACCTATCCTGGGTCTGGTTAGACTGGTCCCTCGAACTGACAGGGGTCACAATGACTCAACTTATCACCTTTTTGATGTTGAAACATAAATTCAGATTTAGAAATTAGATTCTAAATTAGTTTTAGACATTGATGTGTACATAAACACCTCTATGAAGCCATTTATAAAGATTTGTTACTTAAGTGGGAACCAGTAGTTTTAGGGCTGAGAGCCACAAACAAGTTGGGGAATTCAGAAAGTATTAAACAAGGAACTAATGTGTTTTTCTGATCGGAATATAGAATATCATCAGCATCATACCAACATGAAACAGCTGCTACAGCTGTTTGTGATGGTCCAAAAGTTTGCATGATGGTGCTTTTCACTCAAGTTTCAGTCATTTCATCGAGTCTGCGGTGAGCCAGTCAGCCAGCACAGCGTCAGTTTGTAGTTTTGACACTTGAAAAAGTTCATCTGACTTTGAACAAAGACCTGATCATCGATTCTTTAGATTGGCTGTGGTTTTATATAGTTTAGCTTGTTAGTTTTTTATTGTAAATTGATCGATCTGCTAATCAGAGCAAAGATGTTCTCCCCCCAGGAACGTGCTGTTTGTGTGCTGGCTGGCAGAGCGCTCTCACCGGATTGCGCTGCTGTTTTTGGATGTGCTTAAAGAACAATAAACACAACCGCAGTCATTTTTTCCAATTAAACAGGAACCTGATATCTTTCAGAAACAAAGATCTGCATAAATAAACAATCATGTAATTTAAACAAAGCCCACATGTCGCAAGTTAATATTAGGGGTGTAGTTTAAAATCAATAAACACCAGCCTTGTTTATTAAAAACAAAAAGTGTTAGAGATTCAACAGAATCACACCCTGAAGAAATAAAAGATCACGATGTAGAGTGCCGTCAGAACAGATCAGCTTTGTCATTTAGTCGGGCTTTTTTGCTCAGGAACAAATTGTGACATCGGCAGCTCACAGTCTAAACTGCTGAGCTGTTGGACGTGTGGGTAGGTGGGAGTGGATGGGGAGTTTTTGTTCCAAAATATTCCAAACCACAAAATCAAAAATGAGCAGATTAACTGTTGTATCAGTCAACTTTTCGCTTATATCATTTATATATTTTGTGTTATTTCACTTTTAAACATGAAAAGATTTGTTTGTTCCTCATCCGTTTTCCTCTTTCATCACCAATTTTTGCCCTTTCTTACCTTTCTCCTCTTTTCATCCAGCTCCTGCAGGGCGAAGAGAGCCTGCTCAACCTAATGATGGAGAACTCCATGCAGTCCACCTGGAAAACACCCCAGTTGGGGCGCAAACCGAGAGGGAGCAACAAGCCCCGTGTTCGTGCACAACCATCCGCTCCAGCCCAGCCTCAGACGCTCCTGTCTGCAGCTGCTGCGTCCGCAGGCGGCAGCCCCTCCACCGCAAAGAGGCTCTGGGCGAGCATGGCGGAGGAAAAGTCTGGCCACGTGAGTCGGAAAGGGGAAAAGAACAAAGGCTCCTCCAAGACCGTGCACTACCCCCTCCATCACCACCAGACCAGGAGCTCTGACCTTCACAGGGACCCACCGCCACAGCCGCCCATCTCCAAAATGGATTCCTGTCACATCTCGGAGGATAACAGTCCTTGGGATGGCATCCATGCAGGGAATGGTGTAGTATCAGGGGCTGGATCTGGTTTCACAGTGGGCTCAAACCCACCGGTCTCTGGTCTTGGGTTCACAATTCCCGACGGTGGGACAATCTTTCGTGGCGGGACCCCGCGGCACCGTCTGTCCCGCCAGGGTAAATCAAGAGGGAGGGGCGTCACCGGAGGTGTAGCGGGGTTCGAGTCCATGAACCTGCCACTCGCAGGGAAAGACGTATCCCTGTTAGACGCTGCTGAGACTGATGGCTACTTCTCTGACGGCGAGCAGAGCGATTCGGACACGCGCACTGGTGGGCGCAAGCTCCGCCTGCCGCAGTTGCACTCCGGGAACGAGGACCTGCTGAGAAGAAGCGTGCTGGCTTCCTAAAGAACTGAGTTTCCAATAGACAAATACACACAAGCAGTTATCCAAGCAGAATCCCGCTGGCTAATTGTTTTTTGTTTTTGTTTTTTCCCACCTGTGCCCAGCATACAGTCTATAAAAACACGGCTGGATCGCTTTGTTCAACCAAAATCCCGATCGCATCCATCAGTGGGAAATCCCCAGCTCCTAACCTGCTCTGTTTTTTAGGACGGAGGGGATTTGAATGTAGCCGTTTGCCTATCATACAGAAAAGCTTCTCCACTGGACTGCAGTTTGTTGTTAGCTTATCATAAGATGTGATGCATTCAGCAGATTGAAAACAAACATTACCTTCAGTCTCTTTCTCTTGTTTTTTTTTTTTTGTGTTGTATATTTCAGAATCATTTCATTTCTGGGCGTCGAACGAAGCACCCAGTTCTGGCCTCATGTCTGTGGTATCTGCCAGACTTGGGAACAAACACTTTGGGGCATTATTATTATAATTATTATTATTATTCAAGCTGGTTTCAGGGTATGCTTCATTCTCGGCCTTTGTGGCCCGAGTTGCATCCAGTGAGTGCTTGTTTTCTTGAATATGTTCAGTGGAAAAGACAATTTCACACCAGAGTTGGTCTGAATATGTACAGCGGGTGACAACTTGTATTCAGCCTTGAAAAGCACAACATAGCTAGTCATAAGAGCTGTAATGTAAGCACTTGTGTGTATAATAGATGCTCATTCAGGGTTGGGGTCAATTTTCCTCCCTCGTTGACTCTGTTTGAAAAATGTACACTGAATCCTTCATTCTCAAATTCATTTTCACGTTTTAGTTCATAAAAGAAAAAACAACAACAACAAAAAAAATCTACAAATCTCCAGCTTTGCCAGTTTCTGAATAGCGAACACATTGACCCCAACCCTGGTGCTCATTCAGATTTTCACACAGACACACACAAACATACTCACACACAAACTACCATAAGCGGATCCCTTTTGCTCACAGCCGCCGTTGAAATATTTGGTCTGACTTTTTGTCAGCTGCTTTCAAATTCTTCCTAATTCCGCGTTCTTTTAACTCCCGGGTCTTTGGAGAAAAATCGTCGTACAAACTCTGTGCCTTTCTTTCACTTGCCCTGTGGCCCTGCGTCCCCCTCAATCGCCGCCAACTTTCCAAATCAACCAAACAATCGCTGAGTAGATCAATCAGTCGTTTGTCAATCGGATTTGTAACAATCAAGCCAAAAGGAAATCCCATTGGAGTGGCTACTGAGCGTAGCTGGCATTGGGCTCCTTGTCACCTTAACAATTGTGTAGTGCCTGAAAGGATGGAAATGCATCACTTGCCATTTATCAACAGAGCATATGCAGCAGCTTGCAACGCAGAGCAACATCGTGCTTTCAGTGCAAAGAGCTGCCTGCTGCTCTGTGCCCCCTTAAGTTACATCACTGCAGCCCAGAGCCATCAATAACCAGAGTTTGGCCAGTTACACTGCGGGCACAATGTTGCTGCCATTGAAAATTAGACCTCTTATTTAAAATTTCATGCACATTACTGCAAATAGTATTCATTTTGGGGTTTGGTTAATCAGCAGTACAGTTTTGCTTTTTCATATGGAGTGGGTAGCTGTGTTCATGTAAGCCAAGCCTGAGAGACGTGTTTTATAAACAGTTTCAGAGTGGTTAGGGTGGCCATGCATTGTGTAGTTCATGGGTAAATTCTTGCTACAGCAGCTGACATCATGTGACACAAATTCAACCTCAAAAGCAGCTGAAATTCTGCTTTGGTTCATAAGAGGAGGAATCCTCAGTTTTGGCATTCTGATGTTGCTATTTATGTGTCCAGTGGAAGCGGGATCACTTGGAATGCATTCAGTGCATGTGGATATACATAAAACTATATGTAAAATTAGAGGAAATTAGTCATTTTTATTAGTCAGATCACCCACGTGTACCTATGCAGCTTATTATTTTGTTCTATGAAGACGTAAACACTGTCAGGCACCAAGGTGGCAGCCGCTTTTGTTTGACGTGGCCAAGCTTTCATAACTGATGGCTCTGAGGCACGTCTTGTTCCTACTAGATGGACGTAGACAGTGTAATAATCAGCTTCAGAGGCCTGCGCTCTTAAGTCCCTGAATTGATTTGATTGTAAATTTGTTTTTGTTTTTTAAAAACGAAACACATGAGCCGTTCTTGTTTTTCTCAGAGAGTTGTATTTTGTACTTAAAGCAGTCCGTGGTATTCTCAGGGGTTAAAAAAAAACTTATAAAAAAGAACAATAAAAGGTTAAGAATTTATGGAAAAGCAACGAAAGACGTAGATATATATATATATATATATACATATATATATATATACACACACACACATTTTATATCATATACAGTATATATATATATAAATATATGAAGTGATGTGTGTTTGTCTAGAAACTTCCTTATTTGGAAAGCTTCACTGTTTGAACTCCAACACGACTACTACTGAGCATGCTCCTTCTCTCAGTACAGCATACGACCATCAGCCCTGGGTTCAACAGTCCCACTTTAACCCATCTGATCTGAGGTCAGATAGTATCGGCTAACAGATGGAACTGTCTTTTGGGTCTCACCAAACTGGGATGACTTAAAGATTTGATTTTAAGGGCTGCTTGACCCAGGCCTGATGAACACACATTTAAACAGAGGCCCAAGTCCATTCTACTTTCTCCGTTTTCCTGTATGAACAGCTTCTCCCCGGTTTTCTGGAGTAACCATGCCAAAGAACAGATCTGTGTTACAAGGCAGCATATTTCAGTCTTATCTACGCAAACATACTAAGCTGTCAGACCGCTCGAACAGTGATGTCCAGGTCAGCAGATGTGATTCGACCTCCTCTAACCCAGGGGGCGCTTTTAATTCCCAACCTGGATAGATCTGCATTCACGGGGGGATTCCCACAGGAAATGCCCGGTGATGGTTGTTAAACACACTCGCATGTATTAACCCCCTCCAAAAAAGGGAAAAAAAAAGAAAAAAGCCAGTGCTGCTGAACTGATCACACAACATACAGCTCTCTCTCTCACACTTACACGCATGCACACACACACACACACACACACACATAGACGCTTACACAAACCCCAGAGCTGGTATAACAGGGTTACAATGTAAAAGTTTTTGTTATGTATATGTGGTCCTGACTGCATCAGGAAGCATGAGTTTACTCAGAGCGAAACGCCACCCCCTCCCCAACAGCAGGAGAGTATTATCACAGGTCAGGTGACAGCGCTGCGTCTCTGTCCCCTCTTCGTCCCTTCAGGTGTAGCCATGGTAGAAGCACTCGCATTGTTGCGTCACAGTCTTGCGAGGACAGGCGGAGAACTTGGGACTTCTACGATGGCTATTACAGCTGACACATTACAGTAACGACAAAAAAAGAGCAACAAAGCTCGTGTTCCGATGCGAGGACGCGGTGACGTGTCGCCTCCGAATCCTCAGCCAGGTGTTCGTTACCATTCATGTGTTGCTAAGACAGAAAAATGTAATCTTGGTTTCAATATTCAATGTTCAGAGTAGCCTGACGTTGTAGACAGTGGTTTTAGACAAGGCCTCACATGTATGGCCTTAACATGTAGTAGCAAAGGCTGAGGCTGCACAGTGCCTGAAGGACAAAAAAAGGACTGAAAAATACTCATTTGGGGCTAAATTAGTGGAGCTGGTTAGCAGTATATAAGATTTCCTGCTGGGTGATGGTGAGATTCCACACAAAAACAAAGCAAATTGTACTTCTGATCTTCTTTTTTTTTTTTTTTTTTGCCTTGATACTGTGCAGCCTTAGCAAACATAACTGGTTATTATTCTATATTTACAGTGTGGCTTCAATGCCCTCTCCTTCCGCTTCGTAGATAATGTAGACTGGAGTCTCTTGCAGGTTCTTTTTATCAATATCTGCTAGAATGCAACTTCAAAGCATTGCTATCCTCTGTGTGGTACGCCGGTGTGGGTGTTGGCTCGCAGCCCGAATGTGCTCTGATGATCTTTGAATTTTGCAACTCTGTCAGGTCGAATATCCACACTGAAAGGAGATCTAGTGCAGGGGGTTTCTCGCGCTCTCTGTCTATCTATTTGGGTTTGTGTCCCATAAAATTAGACGCAGTGTGAAAGTTTTTATCTTCATACTCGGAGCATCCGTGTCGGTAGGTCACGTTCCTCTATGATAAGTCACCACTTAGAGAGGCAATAAAATGTGCAACGGAAAAGCTGTACAGTCCTCAGCTTGCTGTATGTTGAGAGCAGAACTCTTCCCTCAGGTGTTGGCACTGACGCTGCACCACGGGAATAAACTGACGGGCATCAAGCACATAATGGCAGGTCAGAAACACACCTACACACAGTGATGCTTTCCACTAGACCGATTGCTTGCAGGTAATTGGAACCTCGCCTGCGCACAGCTGCTGTTTACTGTACTGACTCTGTTGTAAAACATCAGTGCACCAGCAGGGCTGGGCTCCTCAGAACCCCCTCAGCTGGGTGAAGGGTCACATTTACAGCTTTCCATTAGCAAGAAAAGCAGTTTAGGGTGATCCAGAAATGACAGCAATGTTCAGTTCTGGTGAACGACGACATTAAAAACGGGGCTTTGAATTCCATGATTGCTCCTAGTGGGTGGTAAAAAGTTGGATTTCTACAATTTAAAGTCATTTATTGCACTGAGGTGGTTCTGGGGAACCACGAGGGCATTGGGATGCAGTTCATAAGATGTCGTTTCTTCTTCTGTGGTTGCTCCTTCATCCAGAAAGTGGTCTGAGGCTGTAGTGGGATCAGTGAAAGCAGGACTGGGTATTGCTTAGGAAATAAATACCTGCAAGCGACAAGGGACAGCAGTCCAGTAATAAAAGCAGGATTAGATCAGAAGTCTTGAAATGTCTGTAAAGCAGAAAATTGCAGGTCTGTCTAAAAATGTATCCACATGACAATAGAGATTGCTTAGTGCTTCCTGTTTCTGGTATCAATGCCTAGTCCTTGTTTCGCTGCCCTACACCAGCTGTACAAAGCCGCCCACCTACCTACCGCTGGAGTTTATACTCATCTACAATAATGTATATTACTGTTCAACTACTACTACTAGACATTTTCATTTTCTGTGTTTTAAAGAGGCTTTTGCAAGCTGTTTGTTTTGTTTTTTTTCCTTTTATAATGCTTATCTAGCCGCTGTGGCACGTATCAGACTAGAAAGCTGACTCATTATCTGCTTCTACTGTTTTTACTGGCGCTTTGCTCTCCTCTCCGTTACAGCAAAGTTATGGCTTAAAGGTCTCAGCATCCAGAACCCAGACACACACTCCACAGATCGGAGGTTTAGTCGCACAACCGGAGCTGCTGCCGAGGAAGAAACTGATCTCAAGTAAAACTCAACCTTCAGAGCTCGAGACTCAATCAGTCGCATCTTAAAAATTTATTTGGTTAATTTATCAGAAATGGCAGATATTCATTCCCCAGGTTCAGCTTCACAGCAGTGAAGATTTGCTGCCTTTTTTTAATGTAATGGTAAATGCAGCAGCAATCTGATAGCACCGCGTTGCTTTTTTGGATCAAAGCCTGCAACAAACCTCAAGAAGCACTCATCCGAAAAGCATTGCTTCTATTTTTGTGCCTTTTTTTAGGTGTGTGTGGGGGGGGGAAGACACTGTTTGTGTCCAGCATCTCTTGGTGACTGAAGGTGGAACCAAAGAGCGATTGATGCTCTACCTGTGTGATCGCGTCATCCTCCACAGCAGCTCGGAGAAATCTTTTCAGACTAAATCTCCCGTCTGTACCCACTGCGTACCTTACTCTGCATCCACCATCCAGCAACTTCCTCGTCCTCCTCCTCCTCCCACCACCAGCAAACTCCCCTCTTCTTCTCCATCCTGAATCCCCTAAAAACAATCACCCTGTTGTCTCCCTCCTCCCCACAACTCTTCCTCTCCCTGTCCGGTGATCAGCCTCCTTGGCCCTTGGCACATGGTTTTTTAAAGGTGATCAAAAAAGAAGAAGGACACCTATAGCTTTAAGGACAAATAATGACAGACGCACGAGGAGCTGAAAACATTGCACTCAGCTTTGCTTAACTCTGGCTTGAAAAGAGGGAAAGTGCGGGAAAGGGGAGAGTTGTTTAGAAAGAAGGAGAGGAGGGAGACTGTTCGCTGAACTGGAGCCAAAGAAAGACAAAAGAGTACAACTTGTTCTTTCCTCTGCATTCTGTTTGGAGCCTGTCCGTACAGTCAGGTTAACAAGCAGCTAATATAAACAGTACCAGGCCCTCCCTTTCCCCTCCTTGTGCCTCCTCTCGCTCTCTCGCCTCACACAGCTGGGTCCCCGTCCAAGATTTGTCTTTGAAAAATGTAAAAACTCAAATCGGGAGCGCCGAGCAGAGATGCTTCCATTTTAAACGGCTTACAAAACGATTCAGTTTTACGTCAGAATATATTATTAATCACCAGAACTTCGTGATATGAAGCTAATTAGAGCATAAATTAAAGGCCATTACCAAACAATTCTTTAAACAGAGTTTAAAACTCTTAAAACTAACCATTCTCTATCTTACTAGGCCGAGGTTCATCCCAACTCTGAAACAGTTATTAGCTCCTTTCAAGTTAAAGCTTCTGTGTTCACAGCCAGAGCTGCCATATTAGGCATGGCCCCTCTTTTTGACATCACACAGATCCAACAGTGGAAAAAAACTCTCTGAAAGTGGGAGCTTAAGGCATTGTAACAACAGTAAAATGAATGTGAAAGAGGCTCTTTTTGTAGCTGTGATGCTAACAGACCCCATCATGTCTAAGATGTCTGAAAATCTTTGTAATAAACCGCTGATGGCTTTGGTATTTTTCTAGGATTTGTTCAAATAAGGAAAAAAAATATATCATAACACCAACTTTGTCCTTTAAAAATCACAATGAAGACCAGATTTTCATTTATCCACTTTCAGTTTTACACTCTGGTTGTTTATGTTCATAGAAAAAGATACTTTTAGCCAACAGCTCATACCAATAAAAAGATCCAGGTTTGGAATCCAGTCTGTTTTAATGTTTACTTTTGGAAATCTCACTTGAAACCTGGAAAACCTGGAAAGTCCCGCTTTTTCACACTGCCTCACCCACCAAATGAACAGTTTATTCAACTGTCTTTACATCTGGTTTTTCCATCGCGCTCCTGTGAGGTTCAGACATCCACATAACAGCATACAAATTGAAGTGTAAATCCAAAAAAACACTCCCAAGATCCATTTAGACAAACCAGCCGTCTCCCAGCGTCTGTTCTGAGTTCAGCCAGGAAGCTCGCCCAAAGTGCAACAGGAAAGAAAGCGATTTCAACACTGTTTTTGCAGGTGTAAATGTAATCTGGCTACATCGCGCCGAGGCAGAATGGATTTCAGATGCAGGTTAAAATAATTTGTTAAGAGGCCGTCTGCACTGTGTCTCTGCTTCTCCCGCTTGTAATTTCCACCACGCAGTCCATCTGTCTCGCTTTAATCCTCCTCCTTGATTCCTTCCATTTTTATCCATTTCCCCACTTTTTTGTTCTTCTTCTCTCGTTTCATGAGCTGACTCATTCACGCAAATGTTTATCTCCTGCCTCTGAGTCACTTCTTGTGTTTATCCCAGATTCGATACTTGCAGGGAACCAACAGGTGTTGTGATTGCCTAAATTGGATCCCTCTGTATGCTTAAGGGTGTTCTGTTAGTTTTATCGGGTCACAGGATGCAAAATAGAGAGAGTCCACTGGCATAATTCTAGTTAAAACTAAACATAGTTTGCACCTCCGTCCCTTTGTTCTTCTGAACTCCTTCTCCGCTCTTAAAGGTGTGTCCAAACAAATGTGAAAGGAACAGAGAGAAGCAATTTTCTATAATTAGATGCTACAAACTCTTTGCGAGAAATGAAAAAAGTTTCTGCTTGAATAATGCGCTCGTACGAACACACAGACGAGGAGAGAAAGGGAGACAGACGGATGGAAAACACAAATAAATTCAGTTTCTTGTGAGTCCTCACATCCGTCAGGGGCTTCAGCTGTCACGCTTGATTAATGCATACCTTGCAATCAAGCTCACAGCTCATGTTTTTCCATTGGGAACATCAATTGAGAGGTGCAGCCTCAACCTTCACACCCCCACAGAAATAAGAATTTATGACTCTTCGTTTTGTCGCACACACCTTTAGAAAACATTCGCACAAAATTGTGGTACATCTCGGTACATCTACAGCCACATTAAAAGCCTGAACGATGGGATGAGCGCTAATCACGTCTTCATCCTGCAACAAAGCTGCATCACAGCCAATATCTGGTCACCAGGAGGACGGGTGGACCGGTTCCTCTGCTGAGTGTCAGCCGAGGTTATTATAGCCTAGGGGACATTATATGATGGTGTTCTGTATTATTGTGATGCTAAGAAGGAGCTGCTCTTTAACTCCCTTTCTGGGTAGCTCCACATATTGGATTTTTATGCTGGATGGCCCATCCCCCAAAGGGGACCTGTGTTTATACCTGGTCTCAAACCAGCGTCCTTTTGCACGATAGGTGAAAATCCAAAAGGGGAAAAATGCTGGTCGCAGCAGGTCAAACCTTTTAAAATTTATAAGGTCTCTACACAATATAAGCAAACTTAAAAACAGTGTGCCGGTTATATGATTAAATGCAGTGACGTTTAAAATGATTAATCACAGACAGGTGAAAGGCCATCTTCTTAAGTGCTTTGACATGTCTCCTGACCAGGCGTGTTGTCTTCCAAAAGGCTCAGCTGCAGGAAACCAAAAGCCAACGTTCATCTGTTCTAGTTACTGCTGAACGTTAAAAATTGATGGCTCAATGTGGATGAAGTGCCAGAACAGATGTGGGGTACCTCGCTCTGTACTGTACTCTGCATGTATTGCATTTTGCCACTCTGATCTCTCTTCATTCCCCAGTCAGTCCGTCTCTCTTGCTCTCCTTAATTTTGTGTAACTTTCTATCTGATTGATGTATTTCTTTGGCTTTTGTTTTCACCATTCTCCCTCAGCACGTTTCTTCTTTGCAGAGCAGACAGTTCCTGACTCATTAAATACAACAACAACAAAAAAAGGTTTCACCCTCAGGTTTAAATAAGTAGAAATTTAAATTAGCTTTTTTTTGGCAACCTCCAAAGAGCAACTTTTAAACATCACCCTTGAATCTCCATTTTTGTGACAAGATAGGAGTCTCCCTCTCTCCCTCATTTCTACTTTCTCATGACATACTTAAGTACAATTGGACATCCTTATCCTGAATCTTATTGGTTGTATTTAAACGACATGAAGCCAATCGGCGCTGTCTATTCAAAGCAGAGCTCGGACACATTTTTCCTCCTCCTGCTGTCTTTATTTGTCCTTATAAAACGGTTAAAATCTCTGTTGTCATGTCCAGTTTATCCTCCACTCTGCATCGGTTCTTCAATATAATAATATGAATGTTGCAGGAGTTTATCCTTCTGTATTCTTTGTTTCAAAGAATGTTGTGCCATTTGTTAATAGCAAAGAGAACTATTGAACATATATGAAAAAGAAGAGCTATTTTAAATTATTTTTTGGCTTTTTTTGCTATATTTATTTTCTTGTATTAGAATCTTCTTTGTAGGAGGGAAAAAAATCAAAAAATGTATTTTTCATTAGTGCGAAAAACCTATTTTCTTCCTTTTTGTACAATTTCGATGTTTTAAGCGAGACTTTGAAAAGCAATATTATGATGATGATGATGATGATGTTTCCTGTGACTGTATCTGCATGCTGTTTGTGTTGCCTTAATGATGGCTGCATCCCACTATGCCCCTGCCCACCCCGTGCCTCCCCAACCTGACCCAACCCACTCTGCTCCCTTCCTCCTCTCAACTTCATCTGATGGAGTCCCAGTCCCATCCAACCCAGTCCAGACCAGTCCAGTCCAGTGCAGTCAATAAAGCAGTGCTTTCTGTGTACATTAAACTCTCTGCCTCTCTGTTCATTACACAAACACAGCTGATTTAACAAAGATCTTTATTTTACTCTGGCTTTAGCCGAAGTAGATTAGATTTTTAATACCAGCTTTCAGCTGAAACAAAAATAAAATATCTCTTTGACAAAAACTAGGCTAAGCTTTTCTACCATAATCATCAGCATTTAGTTACTTTCTCATTACCAAAGAAATCTAGAATCACCAAAACTCTTGTGTAGACTCTAGAGGGGTAGAGAAATGTCAAAGGTCACCACCGTCATTGGGCTCATCTCTGACGGGGATGAGTCTGCCTACAGGAGGGAGGTTGAACGTCTGGTGTCTTGGTGCAGCCACAACAACCTGGTGCTGAATGCCCAGAAGACAGTGGAGATTATTGTGGACTTCAGGAAGCACACAGCCCCACTCCCCCCCATCATCCTGACTGACACCCCCATCACCTCTGTGGACTCATTCCGCTTCCTGGGTACCACCATCACCCAGGACCTGAAGTGGGAGCCCACCATCACCTCCGTCATCAAGAAAGCCCAGCAGAGGATGTACTTCCTGAGGCAGCTGAAGAAATTCAACCTGCCAACACGGACGATGATGCAATTCTACACTGCAATCATCGAGTCCATCCTCACCTCCTCCATCACCGTGTGGTACGCTGGAGCCACTATCAGGGACAAACAGAGACTGCAGCGTGTTGTGCGCTCTGCTGAGAAGGTGATTGGCTGCAGACTCCCATCTCTGCAGGACCTGTACACCTCCAGGACACTGCGGCGTGCAGCCCGGATCTCAGCTGACCCTTCTCACCCTGGACACAGTCTGTTTGACCTGCTCCCCTCAGGCAGGAGGCTCCGGTCCATTCGCACCAGAACCTCTCGCCACAAGAACAGTTTCTTCCCTTCTGCTGTTGGACACATGAACAATAACCACATGACTGTCCCCGCCACTAACACATGACCCTACGCTGTGTCACTGCATCATTTCATGTCTGGCACTGATCACCACCTGCACTCATGTATATATCTTTCTACGTAGCACTCATAATTCTTATTCTCATGTATATATCTCATGTATATCTCATGCACATATCTTTCTTTCTACATAGCACTTTAATTCTTATTGTCTGCACTGAAGCACCGCAGCAATTTCCTAATGTTGTAAACCTCAACATCTGGCAATAAACCCATTCTGATTCTGATTCTGATTCTGATAAAAATCTTTCTGCAGTGTCACAGTAAAGTGAGTTGAATTTGATAGTTTGATTTATGAGGTGTTTGCTGCTCTACCAATAAACCGAGGGAGAATAAAGTACAGGGGAGAGGAGAGTAAAATTTCCTTTCTGCTGCTGAATAAATAAAAAGGTAGGACCATGCAAGCGGCTTTGTGATGCTACATGAGCCTGATAACATTTGCTAATTAGTGCGAGTCTAGAGTCTCCTGCGAATTTTTTTTGTTGCAGGTATCAAAAGGAGGAAAAGTTGAGGCTCTCCAGTCAAACTTATAATCGTTCATGGGCCACACACATACAGTGTGATCTCAATTTGGCCGGGACAGTAAAACTATTGTATGGAAAAAATGTACAAATATATTCTGAAAACATTCCCATTTAATGAGACATCCACATATAAAATAGATGCGGTACAGGAGGGTAAGTCTTAGAAAATATGTGTAATTTCAGCAATGTCTCGTGTTTTTCTGCATACGGTGATTTCACTGTCGTCACATTACCAATAAAGTACACCGATCACAGTGGCTCTAAAAAGGCTAAAACTTTCACGTGTACGGTATTTGTGACCCTTTGATGCCAAATGTATATTTGATACGTTTTTGATCCCTATACTTCAAAATCACATCTCAGTGTAATTTTGTGCTTTTTCCATTAAAACCTGATGTATACAATGTCAGATGTAGCAAAAGTAATCTAAAAAGAAACTCATGTAACTTATGCAAACTGGAATTTCTTTTTTTTAATCATTTTTATTATTATTTCTCAGAAATTTCAATAAACACTCCAGGCTCAAAAAATTTAAATTTACTGGCAATTATTTATCATGGATGTGCAGCCAAGAACGCTGCAGTAAGGTGTTTGGTTTCATCCTGTTTCTAACTGAACCATCTGACTATGGCAAGTTTGACTTATGACTTATGGCAAAATTGAGACTCGTTGGACCAGACAAGATAATTTGATTGATTGACTGATGTCTAAATTTCATATTGTAAATAGTATAAAGAATCTGTAATATGGGGAATAAAATTAAACTATAAAAAGGGTTTGAGGATCAACAGTAACTCAAACCAAGAAAACATGAAAAAAGCAAAAAATTTAATTATCAGATGTATTCTGGACAGGTTAAACTGTCATTCCTTCTTTTTGTTGATCTAATCAAGCGACCTGCCAAGGAGAGACCTCGAACCTCAAGATAGCCAACAACCTGCCGACGATCCGGCCAGACTTGGATGTTCTTCATTCAGGCTGGAATTTCTTGTCAGGCCAGAAACTAATACTGTGGCAACCGCCTTTAAGAAAATCAGGCTCACCTGAAAAGCACCACATGGCAGCAGCCTGGAGTTTGTCAAAGCATAGACTGAGCAAAGAAGAAAAAAGATCTGATGAAATACAAATCAAAACGCTTCTGCTGCAATGCAGAGTGCTGTGTCTGCTGGAACTAGGGAGGCTGATCAAACCTCTAAGACCATCTATACCTCGCAGCATGATGATGCTGCTTCAGACTTGGCCAGAGACGATGGAGAGACTTGGCCAGAGGTCCAAAGGAACAATGCAGGAATCCAAATGCAGGCAAATCTCAAGAAGAGCA